GTTATAGCTGTTATAAATACTATATAAAAAATTAAAGATCGGCTAACTTGGTGAAATCACATTGGCCAAAAGTAAAAATTTCAGGAATGGTAGATATTGGTGCCGCAATGGAAGCCCAATATATGACAGGTTCTGAAAATCACGTAGCTTTGACGGACGAAGTTCCAATATTGCAAAAAATTGAAAATAGAGCCTAGAGATGCATTTGTCATTCGGTCTAGGAACAAGTTACAGATCAGTGGACGTTACCGTTGGATAGAGAACAGTTTGACAATATTAAAGCATTAATTAAAGCTGAAAATGCAATTTGACTTCGTAGACATATTTGAATCGAAAAAACGTTCGCTACAAAAAATGATCAACTCAACAAGTTGTGTCTATGATTAAATTTTCAAACTTCTATCACTTAAATAGAAGAGCTAGTTAAGAACCAATTTGACTGGGTGACCCAATCTTGCTTTCCCCTTAGTTGGACCCTTTGTAAGGGTTTCAAAGTTTGTGGAACCTACTACTATGCTTAAAGACCTAAGTATTAGAAACTCACAAAATTTCATTCCATTTAGAGAGAGTCAATGTAAAGTATGGTATGTTTCCAAAAGAATAACCCTATTTCAATAAAGATTTATAAAAACTAATATTGCCGCCATCGGAGCATATATACAGTTGTTGTATCCAAGCTCCTACATTTTAACAACATGTACCTTCTTGAGTGTGAGTAAAGTATTACTAATCGTGCCTATACATTTCATATAGTCGACCAACTTGCGCCACTCTTTTTACCGTTTTCAATTAATGAAAAAATTATTATTGCATCACTCGAAGGAAAAAAGGAACGTTGGTATGATTTCTGCTTCTATTCACCTACGCATACCCACGCCGTCTCGCATGTTGTTTGATCTATTACATTAATGCAGAGGAGAATATTTATTGCTAAGTTACTCAACAAAACGTTTATTGTGATCAATCATAATACTGTATTTGTTTTTCTCGAAAAATGCATCTCTTATAACGATATGATTCACATTTGTCACATTCAGAAATAAAACTCTGGTTTTCAATCAAATTTGAATCATAATATTGCTCATGAATAATGAAACAATAAATACATATTTATTCATAATGAGAACTGGCAACTTAGTCGTTTTTATTGCTTTAGAAACGGAAGAAAAGCATCGAAACAGTTACTATTAAGTACATACGAGAAAAAAAAACTGGTTATCATCGTTTATTGAACGTATAGACCATAAAGAATAAGCGAACAGACAAACATCAATATGAATGGCAAAGCAGATGATGAGAATATTGAAGATGACCATATTAAAATGTTTTTGAACAAAACAAACTATATAAATTTACTTACCTATTGTGACTCTCGTTCTAACATAAAGTTCAATTTAAGAGCTAATTGTCGGACGAATATCTAAAGAGTTCTGAGCAAATTTACTTCCTTGAATGTCGAAAAATTTTAATTCTTTTAGTGTTTTGAAAATATGATACAGAAGATCCTTTTGTATTTTTGCCATTTTCTTGCATCTTAGTCAAACGCAAAGCCTTATCAAATGAGTATACATGCATGAATCGTTATAAACACGCGAGAGTTATTTTTCCAAAAAATAAGATTCGAATATGTATATTTTGATTTATTACACGAACTTCACCATTTGATTATCGACTTAGATTAGAAACAAAATCAAAACTAACGAATAGAATAATTCATCTGATAACCACTAGATATGTGTAAATATGAATGCTAATAACTATCGGCGAATTTGAAAAATTGAACCAAGCTTTTGAGTCAATAGAGTGTGATTTTTGAAAGAAATTTCATTTCAACCAGAATTAAATAAATACACACAGTAGAAAAAAAAACAAAATTCTTGCATACATACTAAAAAATGGCAGATATGTGCATGCTAATAGGAAATCGCTTTGGTAATAGTGTTCGTAAATGTTATCTTTTTGTATTAACATATAGAACTTTACAAAGTTCTAATTATCCTGCATACACGTGCTAGATTATTGCATTCAACTATTTTCAAGATTGAAAATCATGCATAGTCTTGTATAGTCTGCTTAAAAGGTTAAAGAATTATATTTTTCTATATGTTTCTGCAGGCGATACGTCTGTGCATGTACTATTGTATTGGATTCATACGAGACCATTGGAAATATTTGGTATAATTTGTATGTTCATGTATGAGGTACGATGATTTGACATGTAAACGCGAATTACTGAAAATTTTCTGCAAAAAACACACGTTTTTTTAAAGATTTCACATTTGTCTAGGATGTGAATGAATGTTTGAGCTATTTTCGCTTGTAATGTGAGATAAAAAGTAGATCAATAATAATTTCAAAGCTGCATAAAAAAGAAAAAAGAGAAAAAAATCCAAGTAACTTTAATAGAAATATTATTTAAGGAAAAAAAAGGATTTTTCCTTCTCATTTCAGTACAATGTGGTTCATCACGTCTAACCGATGAATTGATAGAAAAAATGCAAAACATAATTGAACGTCCCATACATCATTTCATTCGATGTCGACATTTCTTTTCTCACCGGTTTGTACTGATTTCGTCATGATATATAATTTAGTCGTATAAATTAGGGGGCATTGCCCCCATTCTGAAAAGAAAACTTTTAATTGTTTCAGATGGTTACAAGATGTATTTAATGTCCCATTAGCCATTCAAATGAGAGATAATGAAAAAATTTCTTTGGGGAATATTTAACACCAGAAGCGACTAATTGATTAGCACATAAAACTGTAAAAGATATCATTGGTTGTGATTTTGAATATATGCCGTACGTATGATGTCTTTTGTTGTTCTAGTCAATATCCCAATTTTGATAAGAACATTTGTCGAATTCAAAAATGTGTAACGTACAATAAAGTCATATGTATACATGTTCTCACTTGTTCGTTATCAAATTTCATTTCTTATTAGTAAAGTTCTAACATTGAAAATAACGAAATATTGCTATAGTAGATAGGATTTGGCAAGATTTGTTATTATTTATTTTTAAATAGCTATATTTGGCCTGATTAATAGTGATTCAATTGGAAATATTAGCTTTCCTGCTCTCCAAACTGCTCCTGCTGTAAGTTCTTCATTTCCATTCATATTCCAAGAATGTGATAAAGAAGAATTACGATGTCTTATTCCATATGCTATTGATCAGGTTAGTTCAATTTCTTTTGAATCTTCTTTTTTGTATTTTATCTTATCATAATAGGATCCATACTTTCGATTGACACGTGATGTCGTACCTCGGCTAAATTTTCCTAAATATGTTTAGCTTCATTCAATCTTTTTTCTTGCTCTACAAGGTGATCAATCAAACATTAGTACATCCAATAGTTATTCTTCAATTTTTCTTACTGATACGCTTGCCGAAATCGAAGACAAAGTAACCAAAAAAGAAACATGTTCTCATTACATAATATCAGTCATGTTTGTTTGTTTATTTCATTTTAATCGCCATGTATATAATGGTGGAGATAAATCATCGAAAGAATGTCGAGAAACAGGTAGCAACTGTGATGTAGATGTTTCATATTAATACCTCAAATTTTTTTATGAAAGATGATGAAAAACTAGAACAATTGAGAAGTGTAAGTGTGAATGATCTGTCCATTTGAAATACTTTCTTTTTTTTTGTAGAGTTATTCATCGGATCAGTTATATTGATTGGTGATTTAAAAAAAGAATTCATTATCGTATTACAAAAAACGATTGTCGAACATCAAGAATCACGAAAATAAATTACTGATGAACAAGTTAAACAATTCATGATACCAATATCACTGAAATTTAGATAATTTGATATTCATATTGACTTTTTCTTATCATAATTTAAACAAATTGATATGTTTTGAATAAATGAAAAAAAAACAGAAACTTTTGTATAATTATTGAAAAATCCATGTTGAACATTAATATTTATTTAAAAAAAAAGAAAAAGTGTG